AGTGACAGAAACAGAGCATCTTTTAACTGTATAATAAATACAGTTTATTATTGTATAATAATGTAATAATAATAATAATGACATTAGTCCATATTAATATTTATTAATATACATATAAACATTTAAAAATTATCATTGCCTATTTCCGCCAAGCTGGAACCAATTACCCTGTTTTTCACAGAAACATCACTTCGAATAGTGCAAATTCGAATAATGTGACCATTTTGTGGGGATTCATTAATTGCACTAGTGGAGACTTAGCTGTACAGTGACAGAAACAGAGCATCTTTTAACTGTATAATAAATACAGTTTATTATTGTATAATAATGTAATAATAATAATAATGACATTAGTCCATATTAATATTTATTAATATACATATAAACATTTAAAAATTATCATTGCCTATTTCCGCCAAGCTGGAATCAATTACCCTGTTTTCCACAGAAACATCGCTCCGAATAGTGCAAATTCGAATAATGTGACCATTTTGTGGGGATTCATTAACCGCACTAATGGAGGCCTAGCTATAAACTGGTGTCTCCCTTCCCCACCAGGAGAGGATGGAAGGGGAAATCCTCACCCCACGTTGGGTCTGGCTAAATACAAAAAAGGAAACCAGAACAAAGACTGAGTCAGTAGCTCAGCCAAGCTGAGGCAGGTGCTAGAAAGCCACCAGTCAGGATTGATACAAAAAATCAACTTGATGAAAGGTGCCAAAAGAAGATAACTTTCCACACACACCACAGGCTGTTAAAAAGAGGTAAAATACAAAAAAAACCCCTAATGCAGTTCTAACAAAATAATTTTCAACCTTGCCTGAGGTAACCGCCTCCTCCAAGACTCCATCCAACTCCCTCACAAAAGACACTGAAACGTTTCCCGCCAAAACCTGACATGATAGAACCGCCTTCTTTTCTATTGGCCCTCGGGTCAGGTGACTCTCTGGGCAGCAAAGGTGGGCTTTTGATTTAAAGGGCCAGCTGCTCCCCATGACCTTGGTAACTCCGTTTCATTGATCTGGAAGAATTATACGTTACCATCCCTGCGGCCAAAAAGACTGACTTACCAGGAACATAGACATTTGTTCTGGAGGAATTGCATTAATCATAGTATATTTTCCAAGATTTCCCAATTCAATAGACCAGTGCTTCTCAACCTTGGCAACTTGAAGATGTGTGGACTTCAACTCCCAGAATTCCCCAGCCAGCCTTGCTGGCTGGGGAATTCTGGGAGTTGAAGTCCACACAACTTCAAGCTGCCAAGGTTGAGAAACACTCCAATAGATAGCATGGATGGAAGCAGAGTAGATGCTCACAACATCTAGGACCTGTATGAAGTCTGGAGAGGGACCTTTTTGCAAGTCTTACTAGAGGACATCCGAGCCCATCAGCCTCAGCTTGGCTTGTCCCGAGCCCCATCACCTGAGTTTTCCTTGTCCAGGCTAAATATGCTGGAAGTTGCAATCAAGCAAGGGCCAGAACATGGCATGGAAATCGGCTCTTAGATCTTGCAGAAAGTGAGCAAATCATGGTTCAGACAAGATGGATGGATTGATCGATGTGTCATCAAGTCAGTGTTGACTCTTAGCAGTCACGCTGATAGATTTTCTTCATGGTGATCTGTTTCCAGCCTGGTCCTTCAGATCTTCCAAGGGTGTACTTATCTTTGGTGTATTTGGGTCCATCTACCTTGCTGCTGTTGACCCTCCTCTATCCTTCCACCTTTCCCAGCATTATGGATTTCTCCAGAGAGATGGGTCTTTGCATTGATTGACTGATTGATTATGTTCCATCAAGTCAGTGTTGACCCTAAGCAACCACATAGATAGGCCTTCTCCAAGACAATTCCATCCCTAACCTTTAGTGCACCCATCACCATTGTAACTGAGTCCCTTCACCTTGCTGCTGGTTTTCCCCTTCTTCCTTCCACCTTTCCCAACAACATAGACTTCTCCAGAGAGCTGGGTGTTTGCACTTATTGGTTGATTGATTGATTATGTGCCATCAAGTTGGTGTTAACTCTTAAGGTTCACATATATAGATCTTCTCTAGGATGATGTGTCCCCAACCTGGTCCTTCAGGTCTTCCAATGGTGCAGTCATTGACACTGTAACTGAGTCCATCCACCTTCCTGCATATTGTCCTCCTCTCTTCCCTTCCATCTTTCCCAGCATTATACAATTCTCCAGAAAGCTGGGTCTTCACATTGATTGATTGGTTGATCACTATCAAGTTGGTGTTGATTCTAACCACATAGATATACTTCTCCAGGATGATCTGTCCCCCACCTGTCTTCAGGTCTTTCAATGGTGCACGAATTGCTGCTGTAATTGAGGCATAACTGTTGATGTTGATTGTCCTCTTCAAAGACAGCTAGGTCTTTGCATAATGTGTCCAAATCAGACAATATGCAAACCCACATTAGCATGGCTTTGAACATAGCCCTTAGGATTTCTACAACATGGTTTATAATTGATGTGTGAAGCCTTTGATTATGTAAATTGTCCCTGGTTGGGACTCCATCAATTGTATTACTTCATCAATTGTATTACTAAAAAAAAAAAAACCTGATTTCATTGATTAAATTCTTCAGTCTGTCATTCCTATAAAAAATAGACCCCTCTGTTCAAATAAATATCTAATTAAACTTTCTGAAAGTGAGACTGACCCCTCTCTTCCTCTGAGGCTGTCACTCTTTCCATTTCACTTCCCTTTTATTGGGTCCTGATGAGCTTTGCTCTCTTTGGCTATCCAAGGTGCAAAGATGGCAATTAATATTTTACACACCTTGCAGTTGTGAAAGCATAACATGTCATGTATTAAGACTATTAACAAAGATCTCAATGAATACTGCTTCCACACCTCACGGAGTGCTTTGTCAAAGTTTATTCTGAGTTTAACCATTAATTCCAGAGGCTATTGACGAGGGCTATTCAGGGAGACAGATTGTAGTAGCAGAGAGAAAGGCAGAAAGAAAACAACCATGTCAGACGTTGGGGAAATCATCAAAGCTCTCAATGATTTTGGAAGGTTCCAGCGTTGGCTGGTGTTGATGATCACTGTAACCACACCTGTCATTGGTTTTCATATGTTCAGCCAATTATTCATGGTAATTCCGGTGTCTCATTACTGCAACACGAGCTGGTTGGACACCATCAGCTTGAACTTGACCGAAGAGGAGCAGCTGAATTTGACCATTCCCCGAAAACCTGATGGGACCTTAGAACAATGTCTCATGTATACTCCCGTGGACAGCAACCTCGAGACCATCCTGCAATCTGGATTGAATTCAACAGAGAAGTGCCAAGATGGATGGATCTATCCTTCTAAGCCAAAACCTTCTCTGGTTACCCAGGTTTGGACATCTTGTTTTCTTCCTGAATTAAATGTTAGGCTTTTGTATAAGACCAGGAAAACATGCCAGGAGTTAGAAGGCAAAATAAATGAGAAAGAGTGAGCTTGATATTGGGGTAGAGGTGGTCCTTGGGCAGCTGACTGCAACTGGTAAGGAGACTGTAATTCCCCCACACCTACATAGAGTAGCCCTTTAAAGACCAGACATTGCATCTAGTCCAGAATACTGAATGAGGTGATGAGTGGTTTTTTTGAAAGGAACACCAGATCACATTGTACAGACCAACTGTACCAATTGTTAGTTGCTTTGAAAGCCTAATGAACATGCTCATGTTGGGGACCCAAAGTTCAACAGAACTTTGGTCATGGAGTGACTTCCATCCATATGGTTCATCAGGCTTCACTAGAGATCTCAACATTCTGCTTCTTCTGTCCAGGCTTCCTTCCCAATCAGATTTGGAGCAGCCTAAAAAAAATGATTTGACCTGGGGCTTGCCAAGTTTGAGAAGCACTGCATTATATTATACTTTGGTAAACCCTCCAGAGCAGTTAGGATTAGGTGACATATCAATTTCCTAAACAGATAAAAAGTTTAAACCATAAGAAAAAGATTTAAAATCTGTGGGACAGCAATGCATTTGCCTGGCCAACTCAAGGTCACAAAATTGATGAGGAAGCTTTTAAATTGCCAAGAATTCTTAATCAGACAAAACCTTTTAAAAAGCCAAATTAGTCAGGAGGTTGGAAAGTTTGCCAGTTAGAGTCGTGATGGAAAGTGAGAAGAGGCTGGAAAGATTCACTCTAGGATTATCAGCTACAGTACTGAGTTTCCAAGTTGTGGCTCCCTTCAAGGAATGTTAGGTTTTAGGGCTACCCAATCTGGGCTACTACAATCCAGATGACTTCCAGATGTCAGCAAAGAGATCCAGAAAAATATAATGCCTTGCTGCCATTTAGTGATGGTCTGAATGTTTGCAACCCAAATCTGGTAGCCCTCTGTGAAGAAACAAATCATAAAAGCCGGGTTTCAACTGGAAGCTGGCTCAGATAGAAACCCACAGCTTCCTTGGCTGGTAAAAAACAAGAAATTCAACCTGAAGTCACATTGCTACCTAGACTGCTACCTGGAGAGACCATAAGTGAATGTTGGCTTCCTGGTTTGAAGAATGTGAGACTCTTCCTCCTGCACCTCATCTTTTTGTTACCTACCACCACAGTGAAGGGTCCTTGAGAATTCATAAGTTTGTACTCTGTGTTTTGACTTCTAGCTGCTTTAATAAAATGCCTGACCTCTTAATTTGCTTTAGACCTCCAAACTAACCATGGGTCCAGCCACAGAGCAATGCTAAGGGCTGGAGAGCCACAAGTTTGGCTTAACAAGAGGACATTTGTAAGAGTTGCCACCACCTCCCCTGAGGGTGTATGGAATTCTCTAATCCAAAGTTCCTCCTTGGGGCTCCCCATGCTTTTGGGACAAAGCTCTAGATGTCCTTCTGGGACAGCCATGCTTGCTTGCCAGCTATTAGCATCCTTCAACTCTGCCAGCCCCTGCACATTCTGGACCATTGCTTCTCAGGATACCAGGAGAGCCAGTCTGGTGCAGGGGTGACGGTGCTGGACTAGAAACCAGGAGATTGTGCATTCTAGTCCTTCCTTAGGCATGCATGCCAGCCAGGAGACTTTGGACCAGTCCCTCTCTCTAAGCTCAAAAGGCAGTGTAGTTCATTGGGAAAAATGCTGGACTAAGAGTGAGGAGACCCAGGTTCTAGTCCCTCCTGAGCCCCAGAAGCTCCCTGGAGACTTTTAGCCAATCCTCCCCTCTCACTCCAAGTGCTAGTTTGGTGTAGTGGTTAAAGGTGCTCCATTAGAAGCTGAGAGGCTGGGAGTTTTAGTCCTGTCTTAGGCACAAAGCCAGCTGGGTGACTTCAGGCCAGTCCTGCTCTCTCTCAGCCCAACCCACCTTACAGGCTTGTTGTTGTGTGCCAAATAAGAAGAAGACTTGGAATATGTGAAGAAGTGCCTCTAAACACCAGGAACACCTATTGCTTACTATTGAATATGAGCAGAAATCTTCCCCAGCTGGTGCTTTCAAAATATCCTGCTACTTTGTGTTATGTTGAGAGTGCCCTCTAGGGTATAAATCTAATAAATCTGGCTTTTCTAATTTATTATTATCAGCATTTTGATGCCTCTCCAGTCTGCAATCGGCAACATAACAGCAAATGAAAAACAGCAAGGATGACCACAATGTCACAGGATGGAGACATTGGATTGGATGGGTGAATTAATCAATAAATGATAAATATTCATCCCCCAGGGTGAAAGAATAAATAAATGCTATCCAGCCAGCCTTAAGAAACTCCCTCCAAGTTGGAAAAAAACTAAAATACAGAAGGCTAATTCTCACTGCTGAATGTTGGCTTACAAATCCTGTAGTGCAACTCTCCTGGAGCTTGTATCATATAAAGCAGTGTTGTCAAAACTTGGCCACTTTAAGATGAGTGGACTTCAACTCATGCATGGCAGGCTGGGGAATTCTGGGAGTTGAAGTCCACTCATCTTAAAGTGGCCAAGTTTGGACAACACTGATATAAAGGAAAGGAAACTTTCTGCAAACTAGAAGATGCAAGCTTGCTGGAAAGCAAGGGGCATTGCAACATAGCTGCCTATTCAAAAATGCAATATTTCTCTGGCAATTTGAAATGGCCCAGCCTAAATATTTACTATGGTTTTGTCCCTCCTCTTCCTTCCAAGGAGTTCTGACTAGGGTCCAAGCTAAACTTCCCTACCCCTTAATACCATCCTCACAACAACCCGATAAGGTATAGAGACGGAGAGAATGTGAATTGCCCAAAGTCACTAGGATTCTTCTTGACTTGAGCCATGGTTTGAATCTGGTTCAGCTCAATATTTCTGGCTGTTGACTCCATGCCATCTTCTTAAGCAGTGTTTCTCAACCTTAACTTTAAGATGTGTGGACTTCAACTCCCAGAATTCCCCGGCCAGCAAGAATTGATTCAATTCCTGGTCAAGCTCTCCTTTAGCTTTTCCCCATCACCACGTTACCAAATAGGTGTAATGTAGTGGTGAAGATGTTGGAGTAGCTCTAGGGAGACCCAGGTTCTAATCCACTCTCATCCATGGAAGATCCCTGGGGGACTTTGAACAAGATGCTCTCTTCCAGTTTCACCTACCTCAGAGGGTTGTTGTGGAAAACTGGTGGAGGGGGCATTGTGAATGCTGCTTCAACTTCTGAAAAAAAGGTGGGATATAAATCTAACAAATAAGAGAGCTAAGGTGGTGTCAGTGATAAGGGTGTGGGAGACCCAATGTTTTAGCCCACTCTTGGCCATGAAAGCTGCCTGGGTGACTTTAGGCCAGTAACTCAGTCTCAAACCAGCCTAACAAAGAGGGTTGTTGTGGGAAAACTTGGCAAGGAGAACACTACATCATCTGCCTTGAGCTCCTGAACAAAAGGCAGCATGTAACTCTAACGAATGAATGAATAAAACTGACACATAAATGCGTTCCACTCTGCGATACCTGCAATGAATAGATAATTGTAAATCATATATTATTGTTCCAGTAAATATTTACCTGATAATAAACTCATTGAATGAGGTTAATGGAGTGAAAATGAGTGAAAGTGGGAGATTCATAGCTAAATTAGAATCGTGAGTTTTTCCTTTGGCTTTCCTGCTTTTTAGTTCTTAACTTTTCTAGGGAGGAATGCTGTTGTGCTGTGTTTCCAAGGTACTAAGATCAGCCTGGATTCTCTCTGTAGCAACTCTGGTCCTTTCTGGTTGTGTACACGCCAGCTGATTAATAAGTGCTGAGCAGTGATTTTGAAAAGTGCAATTATTAGCACATCAGCAATCGCTGAGATGGAATTATGACCTGTGAGCCCTTTAGTATGTGAGATTAAAAGTTGTTTGATCTGATGAAAATAGTTTCGTTTGAGTTGAAAACATTGGGGTAGAGCCCAATCAGGATGCAAGAGAACCAAAATGATGTGAAATTAGAAACTGGAATGCTACGGGAGGGGGAAATGTTGACATTTACAAAGAAGAATAGTCATAACTCCAAAGGTCTTCTTGGCTGAATAATGTAAAGGATGATGGAAGGGAGGAAAAGAGAATTTGTTAGACTAAATTTTATTATTTATTATCCAGGAGATGTTGTCCTAGGCTCCAGGCCACATAATCAACTCCCAAGAAGCAGTCATACCATTTAAAAAGGGCTGCCATTGAAAACTGGCAAAGTTTTGATGGTCTGGTCAGAAATCTTAGCTATAGTGGGTAAGGTTTGAGCTAGATTTTGGCACCAGGCATTCTGATATTTGTATGAGGTGGACTTGGGGGCTGGAGATGTTATTGCCTTGCAGGGTATGCACAGTAGGGATCAAAAAAGTCCAGATGGCAAGTGCACCCGTGCAATTGAAGCCCCTCCCCCTTTTTATGTGCATCGCCCAAGGATGCATGCAAAAAGGGGTGGGGTTTCAAACACATGGTTGCAGCCACCATTTTGATTTTATTTTTTTTACCTCCTTGGGGACACCCCTGCTTGAAGGCCACCTTGCAAAAATGGAAGGCGCTAGGTGCCAACACACGCATACAGTGTATTGTGTGGCTTTGAAGAAATAAAATGTGTGCCTTAAAACTATGCCAGGCCCCAGTTTGTCCCTTAAAATCTCTTCAAAACCTCCTTTCTTATTTTGGCCCTATTTGCATCCTGGCTCTAGAAAGAATATGGGGGACTACAGCAATTAGAAAACATATCTTCTGTAGACGGTTCCCAGAATTTCCCATGAAACAGAAGAAGCTGGCTTTTCCTGGGTATTTGGGTTGGCACTGTCTACTGCAGTGTTTCTCAACCTTAGCCACTTTAAGATGGGTGAACTTCAACTCCCAGAATTCCCCAGCCAGCCTTGCTGGATGGGGAGTTCTGGGAGTTGAAGTCCACCCACCCATCTTAAAGTGACCAAGATTGAGAAACACTGGTCTACTGTATTCAGTTTATCCAGAACTCCTACTGTTTTAAATTTGCCTCTAATCCCAATCTACCACTTATGGGACTTCCTACATGGAGATACTCAGCCATTAAGAACCGGTTCTTCTGGATCAAACTAGCCAATCCAAGATCTTGGAATGCTGATGTTCAGTAGTAGAGGGACATGAGAGAGACCAACGGAGTACCATTTGTCCTGAAGCATTGTTAGGACTCTGCTACTAAATATATACCATGATGACGGAATGAGTTTCTCCTCTGTCTGGTCGCCTTCTAGTAAAGCAATTTTCCTTTCCTTCCTTAAGTTCAACCTCGTATGCGACAGGAAGGATTTAATTGATATCTCACAGTCCATCTTCATGTCGGGCCTCCTTGTTGGAGCAATGGTGTTGGGGCCGTTAAGTGACTGGTAAGAGGGCAAAAACAATTTCAATTTTCAGAATGGAGGGCAGCAATTTACGGGTGGGAAGGAACTGGTGAAGCTACAGAACAGAAGAGGTTGGTTGGAAAGACCATCTTTCCACTGATGGGGTCATAGGGGTGGCTTCCAAAAACAGGCAACCTTTATGACCAGATGCAAAGCCTTCACACTTACATGCATGGAACTGAAGCGGGGTTGGCTACGAGGGAGCAAAATGACCTGCTTCTGTCTTTGCTGGCATCAAACCAGTAGCAGACATGGAATGGAGTAACCTGGAAAAGGTTAGATCAAGCTGTTTGGAACTCTTGTATTTCACTAAGCAAATTTATGGAACTGAGGGATGGCACAGTTGGGTGGTTGGGTATTTCTCTTGGGGGCTCATCCACCAGAGAGGTCCATTTCTAAACACATTCCATCTCCTCCAAAAGTTCTGTAAACATCTTTGGTTGTGACTCTAAGCTTAGAAAGAATCGTTCCCTGTAACAGCAGACATAACAGAACATTTTTGTCCTTCAGGTATGGCCGACGACCCATTGCCTTGTTTTCTCTGTTCCTTGAAGGAGTGTCTGGAGTTGCTGCAGCCTTTGTCCCCAATTTCTACCTCTACTGTGCACTCCGATTTCTGCTGGGGGCTGCTCTTTCTGGAATCACAATAAGCAGCGTAGCTCTGTGTAAGACCTTAACCTAACCCAGACATGTATATTTATTTATGGTGATTGTTGTTGTCTATGATGATTATGATTATTATATTATACTGAGTTTTAAATCTTATGTTATCTTTCCAAGAATTGACTGAAATCAATCAATCCATCTCCTCTCCCCAGATTCCTGGGAATTTACATCTATACATCCATATCCTTTAAACAAAGTTATGCCAAGGACAGCAAATAAGTAGGTAAAACAAGGAAAGGCAGGAGATAAGAGGAAAACAAGGGAAATACAGCTAAATATAGTTTACACCCACACATTTATTCTGTCTCAATCTGTAGAAACCATCCTTGCTTCTGTTATACTATCTCGTACATTGCCCTTTATCTTTTAGACGTCTCACCTCACCGTTTTTGAAGATTTCACCATCTCCATCCAACCACAATTCTTGACCTTCTCCTTCCCCTCAATCCACTCACATTTCCTTCATAACTTCGTTTTGCAATTCAGCCATCATTCATTCTCTCTATAGTGGTTTGCTCTTATGGAGACCGTGAATCCCAAACTCAGCTCTGCTTTAATTTCTTTTGCTAATCCAACTTTCCTTACAGGCACTGAATGGGTTGGAGTTGCCTATCGTCCGCACACCATTATCATCACTCATGTGACCTTTGCTTCTGGACAGATGATCCTGGCTGGCTTAGCTTATGGCCTTCAGGACTGGCGGCATCTTCAGATTGCTGGCTCTGCCCCAATTTTTATTTTTTTTTTCTACATATGGTGAGTACTGGGTTCAAAAAGAACCCCAGGTGCTGGTTCCCTTTAAGGATCCCTGCTTTGGTTGGATGTGCAAAATGGCCTTTTAACATAGTACTAAATGGCTTCTGAGCTGTGTAACTAAGAAGTACCATGTAAATATTGGAATGCATGTGTGTGTAAATACCCACATACACACCCAGACACAGACACAGACACGCACAGAGATAAAGGAACTGTAGAAAGCTTCGCAATGCAGCGAATCCCTCTTCAGGATGTTAGCCAGCCCTGTTGCTTTTCGAAACCATAGGCTCTTTTATTCTTGTGTGACCAGCACCCCCTAACAATCTGGGGTTTTCCTTTTCAGATCGTTCTGGTGTCACCTACCAACACAGCAACCTTGCTATTGAACTCTTCCTGTAGATATTTATGAATAAGCTGAAAAACTTTCTTGCAAGACTTCTTCAACACCTGCCCCCTCTGCCCCCCCACCTCCTGTCTAGTTCCCTCCAGCAGTTTTCAAACATGGTGGGGAAGAAGTATTTTGGCCCTTGTGGGAGCCCAGGGCCTCTCTGTCTCTTCTTAAAAGAACCAGAAAAAGGTGCCTCTGCCTTAAGAGACTCGTTAACTTCAGTGTTTGCTCTGGGCCCAATAGATGTGTGACTTTTTCACACTTAGAAGGGTATACACTGACATGCATTTTACGCATATATATCTACCAGAAGCCACATGAAGGAAGGAAGGAAGGGAGGGAGGGAGGAAGGAAGGAAGGAAGGAAGGAGGAGGAGGAGGAGGAGGAGGAGGAGGAGGAGGAGGAGGAGGAGGAGGAGGAGGAGGAGGAGGAGGAGGAGGAGGAGGAGGAGGAGGAGGAGGAGGAGGAGGAGGAGGAGGAGGAGGAGGAGGAGGAGGAGGAGGAGGAGGAGGAGGAGGAGGAGGAGGAGGAGGAGGAGGAGGAGGAGGAGGAGGAGGAGGAGGAGGAGGAGGAGGAGGAGGAGGAGGAGGAGGAGGAGGAGGAGGAGGAGGAGGAGGAGGAGGAGGAGGAGGAGGAGGAGGAGGAGGAGGAGGAGGAGGAGGAGGAGGAGGAGGAGGAGGAGGAGGAGGAGGAGGAGGAGGAGGAGGAGGAGGAGGAGGAGGAGGAGGAGGAGGAGGAGGAGGAGGAGGAGGAGGAGGAGGAGGAGGAGGAGGAGGAGGAGGAGGAGGAGGAGGTCAACTGAGGACAAACAAGCAAATGAAAAACTGTTAATTAAAATTAATTCCATGTAAAACAACCATTGTTTATAATTTTTGTGCTAGCTTTCTTGGGTAGGGCAAGAAAAAGTGGGTTGTTGGTCAAAAAAATCAAGATGGCAGCTTGCAAGGCAAAGCCTTGCCCCCTTTTTTTCATGCACGGCCACTTGGTTTTGGCCCCATCTTGACCCTTTTGGCTCCCACCCCACTGGTGGCCCTGGAGGGTGCAATTGGATGCGTTGATTGCCCTTAAATGGTCCACTGTAAGATCAGTTTGAGGAGTGTTTTGTGCCATATTTAATTGGGATACCATCTCTCCAAAATCAAAATTATTTGCTTACTTGCCATCCGAATGTTTTTCAGGGTCCTTCCTGAGTCCGCTCGGTGGCTTGTGACAAAAGGGAAGATAGAGGAAGCTAAAAAGCTCCTCCAAAAAGCAGCCTCTGTGAACAAACGAACCATCCCTCTGAAACTGTTAGAGCAGGTGAGTTTTTATTTTCCGCTCCTGCAAAGTTATTATCGCAGGGATCGATAAGAGTCAAAATCCAATGTAGTTGGAAACAACTCAGGGTGGAGAAATTGTTAGGTGAGGAGAAGCAACTTCCAGACGTGCATTGCATAATGGTATTTTTTTCCATTATATGCTGGTCCTTCAATAGTTTTTGGCTACAGTTCCTGCTCTTGATGTTCAGAAACTCTGCCTGTAAAAAGAGGAGTGAGGCTTCCTTCAGGTGGGCACAGTCATCATCTTGACTGTTCCCCTTCCATCAATGGATGCCCCGGGGTATTTTGGCAGGGTTTCATTGGGGTGCTCTTTTATGGAGAGTAGTATTCGTGGGACTTTTGCAGATCAAGGTGGCATCTAGTCAGTTTGAGGACTTCCCCTAGCCTCATGGGTTCTGGTGTTCCAGGCCTAGAGACTAGCATAAAACTATCCAGTTGCTTAAATTGTCTTTAAATCCTTTTTTACAAAGGATCAGGAAAAGATAAATCACATCATCTGCATAACGACATTATTATGCAAGTGACATAAATACTGTAGACATGACAATATTTTGTATTTAATGAACATTTGGGGAGAATGGACATCCCCTCCCCCAAACAGTCTGTTGAACAGAGATATTGTTGAACTTTGAATGATTTCTATTTGCCTTTCCTAACATGATGCCTTCCAGAGGCATTGGACAACAACTCCCATCATCATGCTGAGCGTGGCCATAATAGTTGTAGTCCAACACATCTGAAGAGGTAGTTTGAGAAGGCTGGATAGAAGTTGCAGGGGAAGCAAATTCCCCAAGTAGCAACAATGAAAAAGAGAGATTCCCCCTCTCACTTTCATTCTTTCAATTTCTCACCTCTTACAAAGCTGAAACCTGAAAAGAAAACCAAATCAGCAACAGTTTTGGATCTCCTCAGGAATCCCCATTTAGCGAAGACAACTCTCGTAATTTCCTCACTCTGGTAAGTATATTGGGTCTTTCATAGATGGGGTCAAATGCTTGGATGAGAGCCCCAAATTCCAGCTCAACATGGTTCAGGAGATTCCCTGTCCTGAAAACTGTGGAAAATATTAAGCTAACTGGGCTAATCATGGGCTCCAGGTATGGTACAACTCCACCTCAATAAAGGACTTTAGATCCTGACCTTGGGGAAAGTATGAGATAGCTGCTAAGGAAGGACTTGGATACCAGACTACGTAGGCCAGAGATAAAAGGCAGTGTGAGAAACTCAAAATAACCCCGCCTTGATTGTGTTTAATATAAGATGGGAGAGAGAGAAACTCAGAGAGGCTTTCAAGATTGATGTCATCCCTTTGAGGTTGGTCAGGTTAAGAAACAGACATTGCAGGTATTCCAGGAATGCTGCTCTATTGCTATAGAGTATAATAACCGAATCTTGAAAACCAGCCTCAGGGTATAATATCCGAATCCTGAAAACCAGCCTCAGGGTATAATAACTGAAAGTCTATTCAAGATTCTCTTGTCCAAGTCCCTCCTTTAGGGCCCTCTCATACCTTCCCCAAGGTCAGCTCTAAATTCCTTTACAAACTCCTGGAATTCCCAGCCATTTGTATCATGCTCCCGTATTTCCGGCTGCCGTTGCTCTTTGGCAGGGGAACAAATAAATTTAAGCTCAATTGCCTGCAGGAAGAAGTGTTGTAAGAATGGTTTTATAACAATAACACAAGAGCTAAGGAGAGGGTGATTTCTGACTGAAAGGAACTCTTCTGCTGGCTGTTTAGTTTTCCCATTTTCCTCTTCTGGTTAAAGTGCTGAAGAGCCATGTCATAATTTCATGCAGCTCTTTCAACTGAGCAGAGGAGTGGGTTTGCTGCTCCCCCCGAGTCATACTTTTTTTTAGAACATGGCAATACAAATACATGCAGGGCGAACTAAGGGCAAGGATAGATAGCAGAAGAGGAGTTTTCGTTCCCTCTTCTGTTGACGAAGGGGAAATGCTGATCTATGTCGGAGGCTGAAGTGTGCTTTGCATGAGAGCAATCCTGAGAGTGGGGGCTGATCAAGGATTAGTGAAGCAAGCGATGTGACCAACTGCGTAAGGATGAGTGAAGCAGGTTTGACAAACGTAATAGAAATGTATCTATAGGAAATACATGATAGGAATAGGCAACACTTAGGCCCTACCTAACTACATCCTACCAGGAGGCGAGTCTAAGAGCATGTGCTCTGTGTGTGTGTGGCCAGGAAAGAAGGCAGGGGAAAGTAGCCTCAGATTAGCAATTCCTTAGACTAGTGTTTCTCCACCTCATTGACTTTAAGATGCGTGGACTTCATCTCCCAGAATTCCCCCAGCCAGCATGCTGGCTTGGGGATTCTGGGAGTTGAAGTCCATGCATCTTAAAGTCAGTGAGGTTGAGAAACACTACCTTAGACCAAGAGCAGGCAGATGGGGACACAGAACTAATCCTTAACTCTCTGTCTACTATCTACTGCCCCCATGTGACAGGAGGTGCTGAAGAGTCAATGGCCTTGGGTTTACACTTCCCACAGGCAGATACTCCAGAAATATTGATCGTTCTTGGTATTTTGAGCAGAGCAGCGTGTGAGCAATCAGTTGATGTAAACTGGCTTCCGAGATCTGGGGAATGAAAACTGGAAGAGCCTTCAACACATGGCATTTTCCAACAATCCGAAGGACCCCAGCTAGGAAAAATGGTTTCCTTGAGAGGTTGAGAGCTGAAACCAGCTGAAAGTAGATTGCCAGAGTGTGATGGTGGGGTGTGTTTGTGTGTATGAGATTTGCAATCAAGCCTCTTATTCATATAGCTATTTGAATATCTCTCCTGCAAGGTTTTCATACATACCTGTAAAAATAGCACTGACTTGTGGAATAGGGAGGGGAAATGTGGTATTCATCAACTCTGTGTTGTTCACTCTCCTTTTAATGGTAAAGATTTCTCCTTCCGTCCTTCCTCCCTCCCTCCCTTCTCTTAGGTTTGTCAATAGTTTGGCCTACTATGGATTAAGCCTGAATGTTGGTAGCTTCGGCTTGAATATCTACTTGACACAAGTCATCTTTGGGGCTGTTGAAATCCCAGCCCGGATCTTTTGCATCTTCCTTATGCAGTGGTTGGGGAGGAAGAAATGTCAATGTTTTTGTCTCCTCCTTGGGGGAACCGTTTCTCTTCTGATCACCGCCGTTCCCAAAGGTGTGGATTGAATTAAGAACATTCAGGGATTCCCACATTTTGCTAAACCCTAATTGTGGAATAGTTCATAACTGGTTGGGTTGACGTATCCCACTAAGTTACAGATCACGATAGCTGGGCTTCCATGACAGGCTAAGTCAAAAGCAAGCAAACCCAATATGTGAACTAGACCTTGGAAGGGCTGGTATTTTATTTAATAAAGCTCCCAATGCTTTATTATTAATATTTGTAACGAGAGGCCTGAGCAGTCTTAATCACTGTGGGTCCTATCTGGGTCTGCTGGCATATGTAGAGAGAAAAAGGGGGTTACCAGGGCCTGTTAAGTTCAGTAAATTTTCTTGCCTCCTTTTATTTTGGATTTTCTATCACTGGTTTTTCTCCCCAGATTTGCCTGTGGTGATGACAATGCTAGCTGTCCTTGGAAAGTTCACCATGGCGGGATCCTTTTCAACATCCTATGTGTATTCTGCAGAGCTGTTCCCAACTGTTATCCGGTGAGGCGACTTGATTAACCACAACCACAAGCAAAATAAAATAACGTCTTAAACAAGTACAGTAGAGTCTCGTTTCTCCGACATAAACGGGCCGGCAGAACGTTGGATAAGCGAAAATGTCGGATAACACACAGTAATGATTGAGTGTGGTAAAAA